TATTCAAGATATCCTCTATATACTAATTAATTTTATATGAATAAATATGAAAGGAAAGTAATGACAAAATTATAGGTTACCGTTATAAATACAATGAAATTAAGCACTATATCTAAAGTTTGGGTTTTTTTTTTTTTCATTTAAGAAAATAAACCCTGGTGGGGGCATGGTAGTAACATACCTTTAATCCCAGCAGATTTCTGAGTTCCAGGTCAGCCTGGTCTACAAAGCAAGTTCCAGTAGAGCCAGGGCTACACAGGAAAATCTTGTCTCAAAAAATGAAACAAACCAAACAAAAACAAAAAAAAAAACCCTGAAACCTATAAATATGTGTTCTCAATCTGGGCAAGTTTTTGTATGCTGTTCTCAAGTAGCCTGCCTCTTAGAAAGGGAAAGGGGATTTCTCAGAGTAGATAACACCTTTCCTGCATTAAAGCTATAGTATTATTAATCTGTGGACTTAAGAGGGCCCTTCCCCTCCCTAGTGTACTCTTCTGAAATGGCCTCATGTAGCCCAAGTTGGCCTCAAACTTGCTATATAGGCAAGAATATCTTAAACTCTTGATCCTCCTGCATCCTTTCTGAGGAACTGTTTCCTTTCTTCTCGCTTATTCAGGCTTGTCACTCCCCACCCCATCCCCACCCCCAAAAACCCCAACAAACAACAAACAACCAAACAAAACCAAAATCTTCTCTTTCCTATTGTCCTCACTTCTCGCCAGGGTTTGACCATCCATCCTTATCAGTCAGCAGAGAGACAGGCCCAGCTCCCTGCTTCTGGGGAGCTCGCATGTGATACCACCTGGAGTTATTATCTGCATAGCTACGTCACCAGATTCCAAGTTTTAGCAAAGGCTTTGTACTTCTAGAAACTGCCAGCATCTGTCATACAGCACGCACCAAAAATGTTTGTTGTATGACGAGATCATTTTAGCAAGCTCTTTTTAAAATCCATAAATATTTTAGTATGAATCTTCAAGATGGACTCATCTTCTTTGCTTTTTAAAATACAAAGGCAATACACATACAATGTAAAAATAATATGCAAATATACAGAGGTATAAATTTTAAAATTCAATTCTCCAGCCTCCTACATTCCAGTTTTTGAAATGACTATATTGGTGTTATATGTATTTTTCCAGAACTGACCCATGCCAGTAACACACATAATTTGTCTGTCTGTCTGTCTGTCTGTCTGTCTGTCTGTCTGTCTCTCCTCCTCTGTCCTTTGCTCCCTCCATCTCTCCCTTTTTGGAACAAGTTCTTTGACATTTCCTGACTAGTTTTTCAACATTCTTGTCTAACAGCTTCTCAAAGTGTGGCCCTCAGACTAGGAGAACCAACGTGATCTGGTAATGGATTAGAACTGCCAGTTCTCAGACCCCTCCTAAGACCTCTACTGAATCAGAATCTCTGGAGGCAAGCCAAGCACCGTGCTAATAAGAAGCTGTCTAGTTGACTGATGTACAGTAACGGTTAAGAACTACTGTTCTGATAGAATTAAGCCAGGCTTTTTGCTTCTGTTCTTTTCCCCTCTAGCTACCACAGACATTGTTACCTTGTCTCAGTTTTATCACCCAAACTTCAAAATGCTTCCCTTGTCCTTTCAATTCTGACACTAACAATCTGTCAAGCTCTGAAAAATCCTAATTTTCCCCTAAAGTAGACTCACTGCTATAGTGTCCCACATTCCTCCTCCTGACTTCTTCCTCAACTCCCATGCCACACACAGTCCCTCGACCATCTACCCTGACATTATCTGTACATTGTCTTCAGTGGTCAAGAAAAGTTATTCTCTCCCTAATAGACCAGATGCTTCCTAGTATCTCCTTTACTCCTTGATCTAAACACATACATAGAATTTTAAGAGTTGCTGGTTAATATCTTCATGCAGAGAAGACACATTGGTAACTTAATAAAGAAGGAAGAAAGGAAGGACGGAAGGAAGGAAGGAAGGAAGGAAGGAAGGAAAGAAGTTAGTTCTGAGAATAATCTTCAAGGCTTCACACACTAGTCAATTTCTCTACCACTGAGCTACCAGCTTAGCCCAGACAAATTCTTAATGAACAAAAAGTCTGGAATGTCAAGCTGAAGCCCCAGTTCTATGATCTTGGACAAATTCAGTTCTCAGGAAGCTATCTACCAAAGGGAGGAGGTTAGATCACTGCTTGCGTTCTGATTGAATATAATTTTATGGTGTTTTCCAAATTGGTGGACACATCCCTGTAAGCCCAGCACTTAGAGGCAAGAGGATCAGAAGTTGCAGGCCAGCCCAGACACAAGAAAAGAAAAAAAGAAAAAAAAATCCCACACTGGAATATCATTTCCTTATATTATTATTTTCCTTTGCTTTTATAGTCTAATGAGTGTTCCCCAGTTAGCTAGGAAACTGCTTGAAAAGGAACCATGTTTTATTTTCTGAATTTTCCACAATACCCATTACCATGCCTTATATACAATAATAGTTCATGCAATATCGGGAAATCTTTCAAAAAGCTCCTCAAGAAGCTTTATTAGGGCCTTTCAGCAGGAATAGATGCTTGCCTGGAACCTTGAATCCAATCCCTGAGGCCCATGTAAAGGTGAGTGGTTAGAACTGACTCCACAAAGTTGTACTCTGATTTCTACATGCACAGCATAGCACATGTGTCCCCACCAATAATTAAATTAAAAAATTGTTTTAAGGAACTTTATTAACTCAGATGTGGTGGTTTGTGCCTGAAATCTTAGTATTTCAGAGGTTGAGGTCAAAAGATGAGTTTGAGGACAGACTGGCTTACAAAGTGAGGCTCTTCTTAATACAACAACAACAACAATAATAATAACATAACTGAGTCGGCAAAATGGCTCAGCTGGTAAAGATACTTTCCTCCAATCCTGATGACCTCAATTTAACCTCCATACTCTCATAGTAGAAGTATGTTCCAAAACTGTCCTCTGACCTCTAAAAGTGCCCTAATACATTCACAGGCACAGGCACAGCCACAGCCACATACAGATAAATAAAGCTAAAAAACAAACCAAACAAAAGCAGTAACAACAAACAAACCTTCATTTATGAAGAAAACCTATGTACATATCTGATATTCCAAAAGGCCGTTCTGAATATTATTAATTTTATTGCAAATATCAGGTATTGATAGACAATAAAAACTATGATCACTCTAATGTCTCCTGGGGTAATAAGCCACACAAAGTAAAAGAATGAGAAACTGCATCTCACATGAATTTCAGTGCAGACTAAAATGTCATAAGCCTCAGGCACTCCAATTGCCACATAAAAATAAAAACTCCCCCAGTAGGCTAAAGAAGCATATGACTGCCCCACTGTTAGGGAGACTTCTAGATGCAAGACCATTATCTGCAAACTTCCATCAGCAAAAGGGTAGACTAAGGCTGATACCGGATAATCAGAAATCCAAAGGGAGGGACAGCAAAGAGAAACTGGAGGACAAGAGGACCAACAGAATAGCAGTAGAGCATCATCCTCTGAGTAACAGCAACGGACAGAGGGAATTCAGTGTTTATCCAGGGTCTACCAGGACCCAGGCATTTGGGTGTAAAATATTACTGAGGATAAGATCCAGGCCTGCAGCCTGATGTGTATTATTTAATTCTAGTTAGGAAATTTAGCAGGGAAGGTGAAAATTTTGCGGAGCCTTTGAAGTGTGGAGGAGGATTTGCTAAGGGAGGAAAAGGCAGTTTGAGCTAGTTATTTTGGGGGGCAAAAATCAACACATTTTTATAACTGTTCATTTGGAACTCAAATCAAAGGAGGTGTCTTAGATTCTGCAGCACCGTGTCAACGCTTTCTCTTTTTATCTTAAAGCCTGAAACTGCTCAAGACCAGCTTTGGAGCAGAGCCAGAAAGTCCCAAAAGGAGATGAGGACTGGCTAAATCTGCTCTGTCACCTCCACAAGTCCAGCCAGCCCAGCTAGCCTAGTCCTGGCATCTAGAAAAGAAATGCTAATTATACCTTGGGGGCTGGGGAGGTAGGGCTGGGGGAGGGGGAATGGGGTTGACGCAGGCGAAGCTTACTGTGTTCTGTCAGGGAGCCACCAGGGGAGAGCCTCTCTGCTTAAGCCATAAGGCTCCCAGTCTACCTGTGACAGGCAGGCGAGCTCTGCAGGGGAGAAACCGGCTTCAAGAAAAAGAAGGGGGAAAACACTGGATGGGGAAGCAGTGAAGCACAAAGGTGAACCGACCTTAATAAAACGTTTAGCAAGATCCCTGGCACACGGCGAGCATTTGGGAGGGAGCCAGCTCACATAAACATCGCGATTGTTATCACAACAGCACTTCACTGTACTGAGCAGAGGATAATTCTATTCGTAGCCCACTTTTACGACGTCTTTAAAGCAACTCTAGATAAATGACCAGTGTGTTTCCAAAAGATTTAAAGCTACAAGATCAAATCCCATCAGCTCTGACTGTCAAAGTCCCAACGCCTCTGAGTTAGAGCTGGCCATGTCACTTGTCAGTTGCATGACCTTGGACGCGGCATTTCGCCTCTCCGTGCCTCAGTTTCCTTGGCTACAAAGTGGGCTTTACACAAACCGGGGTACTGGGGTCCCAGGAGAGAGGGATACCTCTATGGCTTTGGGAAGAAACCCACAGAAGGCGAGTCCAGGCCCCTGTCAAAACTCTCTGGGCTGTGAGGGGCAGTGGGGTAGGTGGATGCTCAGCTCTAGGAGATCCGTGCTCCGCCATGAGAGGCGGAAAGAGAGTGACAGCCTCAGAGGGTCCCGGAGACGGAGGGTGCAGACCTCTGAAGCGAGGCTGGACCCCAATAGAATACACGCTGCCCCCCGCGGGCTAGGTACCGGCAGGGGCGCGGGAGGCCGGGCTGAACGCGCTACGCGCGGGGAGCTTGGAGAAGGCCGACTGCGAGGACCCGGGGCTTGCCGTATGGCTATCGGTCCGCAGCACACAGAGGAACGACACCCGGGCGTACCGCGCCGCGCGCCCTCCGCCCGCTGTGGTAGAGGCGCTCACTCACCTGAAGCGCTAGCGCGGGCCGTCAATCTACAGCAGCAGCAGCAGCACCAGCACCAGCAGCACCAGCAAGGAGGGGCGGGGGAAGGCGCTGCGCTGCGCAGGCGCGCTGAGGATGCTGGGGGATTTACCCATGCGCAAAGGACCTGCTTACGCTAGGAACTACAAAAAAGATGGTGGCCAGGCCTGTAGAGCTTAGCAGCGCCATCTTGACTGTAGTTTTTCTTCTTGCGGCGTCCCGGAGGCTTTTGCTCAGAACTGCTTGGAGGGGATGTGAAATGATCACTCTGCACACCCCCTACTTCTCCGTCATGGCTAAATTATTAGTAAGCCTACTTGTGTTAACAAGGTTTAAAGCTACCTCCTGAGCCTCAGGGATTCGATTCTCAGGGATCAAATTCCTGTCCTTTTCCATCTCTTAAAAATGGCAGCCATATCTTTTGCTCTCTTGAGTATGAGACTTGGTTACTCCACAATAAACGACTGAACATATTAATGACTCAACAGTTAACGATTTTCATTGTTAATTGTGCATGTGCACCCGTGTGTGGAGGGCAGTGATGTGCAAAAAATGTAGCAGGTTCCCACTAGAGCTGGAGCTACAGAATGTTGATATGGGGGATTAGACATGAATTCCAGTCCTCCGTAAGAACAGTGCATGCTCTAAAACACTAAGTCATCTCTCCAGACTAGAGTCAAAATGTGGCCTGCATGTGCTGACAACTTTTATGTCAATCTGAAGTAAAGTCAAGTCATTTGGGAAGAGAATCTCAGTTGAGAAAAGGGCCCCAGCAAATTGGCCAGTGTAGTGTATTTTCTTAATAATGACTGCTATGGGAGAACCCAGCTTACTATGGGTGAGTGGTCCTGGACGGTGTAACAAAGCAGGGTGAACAAGTCAAGAGAGGAGCTGGGAAACAGCACTGCTGTATGGCATGTGGGTCGCTACACCTTTGGGAGTTGAAAAACCTTTCACAGGGCTACATATCAGATAAATATATTTGATTCATAACAGTAGTAAATTATAGTTATGAAGTAAGAAAAAAATAATTTTGTGGTTGGGGTTCACCACAACATGAAGAACATGTTTTTAAAGGGTTGTAGCAATAGGTAGGTTGAGAACTCTCAGCCAGGCAGTGATGGCGCACACCTTTAATCCCAACACTTGGGAGGCAGAGGTAGGCGGATTTTTGAGTTCCAGGATAGTGTGGTCTACAAAGTGAGTTTCAGGACAGCCAGGACTATACAGAGAAACCCTGTCTCGAAACAAAACAAGACAAAATAAAACAAAAATGTGTGAGAACTCTCTACGTTTGATATCAGTTCCTGCCATCTTTCCTCAGTGAACTGTTTACCAAGAAGTGTAAGATGAAACAAACCCAGGCCAGGCCCAAGCCAATCTGAATGAAGGCAAAACTAGTATTGACAGCCTTTTATTACATGATCTATATTTAATTGTTAACATTTACAAAGTACTGAACTAGTACCAGTCTACCTTCAGTACGTATTATTGGCTAAATTAGGAAATGTTTCCAATGTTCTATAAATGACACAAAAAACAAGGCCTCTCTCAAATCTGTGATAAGCATAAACACTGCTTGGAGCTCAGTCCCACCGAGACAGGCTAACACAGTCCACTGGCCTAGAAGCTGCTGTGTAGCTAAGAGCCTGTGACTCCTGACTCTCTAGCTTCTACTTCTTGAGTGCTGAGATCTAAGTTTTTATGCTTTGCTTTTGCATTTTTAAGTTGTTAGAGACACCAAACATATTTTCTGTCTTCAAGTTTAAACACTTATAAACATGATAGACTATAAGAAAATAGAGGAATGCACAATCATCTTTGGAGACAGATGATTTATCCTTTGGACAGAGAAAACTGAGATGTAGACATGCTCCAAAGTCCATCTGCTCTTGAAACAACAGTAATAACATCGTTGATTCTTAAATACTGGCTTTCTTGGAAGCTGTCTGGCTTCTTCCTAGTTCTACTTTGGACAATATCATTCTGTCTTTGATAACTAGGTGTTAAATGTCTGGGCTTTTCTATGCCCACCCCAGTTTCCAAATAATGACATGGAGGCATTTATTTATTAACAGACTTAATTCACTTTATTTTTCTTGTTTAAAAAGCCTTATGTAGGGTAGCCACAGCTGGAGCCTGGGTCCTCTGAATAGAGACTCTAGAGTGGGTTTTCACAGGAGATCAGTGAATTCCTGATAAGGAGACATGGTGAACAGTCTCTTTCCAGAGGTCGGGGGTAAAGTTGCCCAGGGTGGTGGCAGTGCAGCCTCTGGCTAATGTGTGGGCAGTCGTCTATACCGGTCATCATTAGTAGCTTCTTGGGCACAGGAGCAGAGACAATGCCAGTGCCTCTGGAGGCAGGGATGAGACGCACCAGCATAGAGCCACAGCAGCCTGTCACCTTGCATGGAACAGTGTGGGGCTTGCCAACCTTGTTCCCCCAGTAGCCTCTCTGCACAGGGACAATAAAGAGCTTGGCCAAAATGATGGCTCCTCAGATGGCAGTGGCTACCTCCTTGAAGCACCTAACACCAAGACCAACATCATGTGACCACCGTAGTCCCCATTAGTGACAAAAGCCTTGATTCTGGTCTGTTGTCCAGTGTAGTCTGCATCTGCACTGGCAGGATCTTCAGAACTTCATCCTTTAGGGATGCATCCAGGAAAAAAAACAATAGTAATCTTGGGCTCCTTAATGGGCAGGGAGAACAGGTAGATCTCCAAGAAGGTGATCTTCGAGTCCTTAACCAGGCACCCCAGCTTGGTGATGAGGGTCTACTCCTTGTCTTCAACTTTACCTCCACGACCCTCGAGGCCTAGACCACGACCACTGCTGTATCCTCTACAGAAGCCTCTGCACCCTCCTAATCCACCCCTGGGTCTTCCATCTACACTGGCATCATCCACCACTTGATGTTTTCCTGAAGAATCTATGTTTATAATACTTTTGGCCTTAGCTTAGGCTAGGTCCCCAGCTAGCTCTTAACTTATATTAGCCCATTTATACTATTCTACGTCTGCCAAATGGCTGGTTACCTCTCCTCAGTTTCATACATCACACTTTGGGTGGCAAATCTCCTGTGCTTGACTCCTTCTGGGTGTCCCACTTTACCATCCTGCTTTTTGCTATAAGCCACAGGCTTTTTATTTTAACCAATCAGAAGGTGCTTTAGGAAGGTAAGGAAGGGCAGAGACACATGGACACATAGTGTACAAAACCATCTCCAACAACTAGGCATACCTTTTAAGTTTATTTCTAATCCAGACTTTATATGTATCTGCTTGAGTTCTCCAGTGGTATTCCATACTAGAGAGTAGCTTTCTCGCCTCATTAACTACCGTCTACTCATTTTTCAGTCTTCAACATCAAACTGTAACACTGTTCCAGGCTTTTACTCATAGCACAGATCCTTATGGTGTCCTTACAACATAGATTCTAACATCCTTCTAATGCTCCAGATCAGAGGTTAAGTAACTGTCTCTCAGCCATAGGAAATGACAACACACAGTTTTTAAAATATAGCTCATAGGGCTATTCTGTTTCAGGTGCCATTCAGTAACTAAAACTTAAAAACCAAAACCTCAAGACTAAAGCTTCCTGAGTGCCTCCCTAGCACTCACAAAGCCTGGGGTTCAATTCTTAGGGAGGCAGGGCAAATTCCCAAAGGGAAAAAAATCATCTCAGCCCTTTCTTGTCATGAATTTAGATTTTAGGAAGTCAATTCAATATTAAAAACTAAAGCACTCTACAGACATTAGGACACTTCAGAAAATGGACATTCTTTAAAGTGTCCACACACACCTGTTATGTGACAACATCCTAGAATCCACCTTCAGTTCCACACTTTAGCGTCAGTCTTTTATGACGACAACCCACCTTGGCCCCTAAAACATTTCCTTAAGGTTAGTTCTAGATGTCTTTGGATTGTTTTATGGGATGAAAAGCACTGGCCAAGAGGATATTTAGAGCAAGGAGAGACTGGTTCTGAAGGTCATTTTAAGCATCTTGCACATTCCTATAAAAAGTGTCCTTAACACACTCTTCTGGTTACATCCATGCTGTCCCTCAGAAACAGGGAAGTGCTGTAGTGCTGGGACTTTCCAGCTGTCTGCTGTGAGGTAAGATCCCTAACAGGATCCTGATCACTGGGTGGGAGATGAGCTCTGTGGGGGGAGCTTGAGCAGTTTTCGAGCAGGTGAAGAATCTAATTGTTCCATTCTTCTCTTCTCTGCAGAGGAAAGGAGCCAAAAGATACATTTCAATTAAATTCACACAAAATGTATTGGACAGTGTGCCAGACAGTGAAGGGTAGTAAATGACACATGAGGTCTTTGTCCTCAAGGAGATGGCAGTCTAGCAGGAAAGCCAGTATGCTGTGACAAATAAGACAATGGCTGGAGGAAGCTGGGAAAAACTATGGCAAGCATCTGCAGTTTTACTTCATGTATCCTTGAAAACTAAAGCTGTCAAAAAACACTAGGTATCTTCAAGGAGTGCAACTATAAAATTTACCTGGAGGCAATTCCTATCAACATTCAACCTTCTATGGGAAGTAAACCCAGTCTAAGGACCTTATGCCTGGAAAGGCAGTTTGTATCCCAAAGGGGATCAGACAGAGCCGACCCTTAGCTTGGTCCCCTCGATGGATGCACTTACTGAGCTGTACTGACACCTTCTGGAGGTACTGAGTACTTTCATCCATGAAGGCTTGCAGCTGCTTCACGGATCCTTGTAGCTCATCCATCTGCAGAGGACAAGTCAGTGTTAGCTGCAGGGATTCTCTGACTCCTCACATGGCCAAACTGGGTCCTTCCTGCTTTAGGCCTTTACACCCTGCTTTTTCAGCCTGAAGTGCTTATGCCAGACATTCTCTCCTGGCACCACTGAAACACACCCACATGTCTCCACCCTACTCTATGCCCCAGGAGACTGACCCCCCAAACCTCTAACCATAGATGCCAGGCCCTCTAGGTTTTGTTTGAGTCTAAGGACAAAGGAGCTACCAGTCGCTGTATGTAAAGTAGCAGCCCTGCTCCTCCTATATTCCCTACTTCTGTGTTTTAGTATATAACATCATAATTTACTTTAAAATGTTTCTGGTTTTCCCAAGATTGATATCCTCTTTAACCTCAAAAGCTTATGCGTTACATTGCATTTGGAGTACCCCGAGAGTTACACTTGCTACTCAAGTGTTACCACCATGAGGCGATGGGACCTTCAGAAGGTGGTTAGGTTTATCTGAGTCTGGCCTTGAAGTGGCTATTAGGACCTGACCATCACTCCTTCCCTCTGTCTTACCCATCATCATGAGAGGAGTAATGTCCTCTGTCACATATTCCCATCACAATCTACCGCATGGCCACAGGTACAAATCAGCAGGGTTAAGCAACCATGGACTAAAACTAACAACCAAGATAATCCATTCCTTCTTGTAAGTCACTGCTGGTCTTCTCACAACGCCATAATGCTAAAAAAGATAACGAGTCTAAAAAGTGAGGTAACCAACCTAAGAAGCCTGAAGCAACTCACCACTAACTCCATACAGGCGAACACTTGGTTCTGATCCTGTACTATTCTCTGGTAGTCAGGCTTCGTGTTAAGAACTTCCTTCTGGGAAGACCTGAGGTACGTTGCAGGATCCACCTTGACTTCGGTGAGTTTGGTTTCAGTTGATTCTCTAAAAACAAAACAAAAATAAAAGACTTTTTCTGGAACTTACAGTAATTCCCTGGAAACAACATAAGAGAGCCCTTAAGAGGGAAACCCTGTCCCCCTCAAAAATCATGTTCCTCTAAGCCTCTTTACATCACTTCTGTAATTAGGGTTTCATCTGACACTTTTTAAAAAATGTATTTATTTTATGGCTATGAGTACATTGGAGCTGTTTTCAGACATCCTAGGAGGTGGCATCGGATCCCATTTTAGATGGTTGTGAGCCACTGTGTGGTTGCTGGGAATTGAACTCAGGATCTCTGTAAGATCAGCCAGTGCTCTTAACCACTGAGCCATCTCTCCAGCCCCCTCACCTAATATTTTATAATTGTTTTGCAGTTGAGATTTAATTGAGAAGAAGCTTTCAAATGCCAGCTGAAAGGTTTGTGGTGCTACTCGGCACATCTGGAGAGCTGAGACTACCCATGGCTGCCTTGGGAGATCATATTTTAAATCAATAAAACTAGTTCAGAAGCTAAATAAACCAAAATCTAGTGCTTTCCCACCTTCGTCTGACTTAATTACTAAAAATGGCCTCTCACACCTTATACCGCCCGTGCTACTTCCTTCATGGCTGTCTGTTTTCACTAAGGCCTTAACCAAGGGGCTCTTCTATCTACAGCTCAAAGACCGTGTGCTCACTAAAGTCTCTTGAAAACCATTGTTGGCACAGTAGCCAGTGAATAGGTGCAAGATGGTTATGTGCCAGTTATGAGGATTCTGAGTGGTGACCAAAAGCACAACCTAGAAGCAGTTCTGTTCTGGGTCTAAGGACAGTGGTACTCAGTCTTCCATTTTGTCCCTTCCTTTCCACCAAGAACACAGACACGTTACATTGACTGAAGTATGAGAACAGACTCAACACTCAATTTGTACAATGGATTTGAAAGAAACTCAAATAACTACACAAGGTAAAAAGACAGAGGTTCCGTTCCAGTTCCCAGGTCTAACCTGGGCATCACTTCAGGTGGCACCTCATTCTGGTACTGCAATAAGAGCCGATCCCAGGCCTGGCGCTCTAAAGAAAACCTGTGTAATTGGAGAAGGGAAATTCAGTTAACTTTGGTCACATTTGTAATCACTCAGGGCAACAGTAAGTACTTTAGGCATATAATCTGGCTATAAAATGCATTAAAAGGTCGTTAAAGGATTAGAAAGCTCAACTGACTCAGAGGATATTAATTTAATCAAGTAATACACAAGCTGTTAAAATCAAATTAACGCCCTAATTTCCTAGACTCCATCCTATCAAACTGTCCATCAGGGCTGGTCATAAGCCGTGCCACTCCTAACGCAGACATAAGTGCTGCCCACCATGTGCACCAGGCATGCTCTCCAGGTTCAGTAATTTCCTGGAAGGAGAACAGAGTTCAGTTTTCCCAAGGACGGCTCAGTCCTTTCACTTACTTTGTTATATATTCTTTCACCTCAGCTACTGATGCTTCCAGTGAAAAATCTGGTGCTTTTCTGGAATACAGATGATATTATGAGATTAACATGAATCCTCCATCAAACATTTGCTTTTAATGAGTTACACAATTTTAGTAGCACTAAAATATAGTCACAGTTTTTTATTGTTCAAAAAATGTTCTTGGGGAAGGGGAGACACAATATCTACTCTGCACTCATAATAGCTAAGTAGTTTTTAAATCTGTTTTTCTCATCAATTCCCATTCATATCATGGAGATTAATCTTTCTAAAAATAGCTCTTTACTTTTTCTCCCTAGCTTTAAAAGTCCACGACTACTGCAAGCAGAATCAAAGGCAAGCCGGCTCCTCACAGTCCCGCAGCCTCTCACAGTGCAGCTGAATGAGATGGTTAGCTCTAACGGGAAAGAAAGAAGAAGAAGACTGAAACTGCCAAACTACGGGAGACATACGTGGCTTCCCACGTGGTAAAGACGGAGGAGCAGTGGTGTAATTCTTGTTTGTCTACCAAGGCATGTGCATAGTATCTCTAGCAGAGATCCAGCAGCCCAAGCTTAAATACATAAAGAGATTTTGTTGGGCTAAAATATTTCATGTCTGATTAGAAATGTCACTCTTGTGAAAGGGGAGACCTTGCATGAATTCCAAATTCAGATCAAGTGCAGATTCATTCCAGGGTGGAGTTAGAAGTTGTGACGGCAGCCCCACCCTTGAAGGACTACCAAGGGGACAATACCCTACTAACATAAACTCTATTTATCATTATTAGTGTGTATAATACACTAGTGTACGTGATACAGTATATGTAGAAGCAAGACGACAACTTTCAACAATGAATTCACTTCCTTAAGCCAAGGGAGGTGTAGAAAAGAATGAGGCCATCAGCTTGTGCAGTAAGAACGCTTACCTTTCCCCACTGAGCCATCTTGCCAGCCCATTCTGCTGATACCCTTGCTTGCAGAGAGTATTAGAATATAAGCTGCCCTCTGCATGGCAATCTGAGAGCTAAGGAATGGTCCTCGATCTGTCCACAGCTGTCACTCACTTTGCACTACCCAGGTCTTTTGTGTTCCAGTCCTAAAGTGCAACCACTAGGGTCTTCTCTCTACACTCTAGCTAAGTTGCCTCTTCCCTCCGTCACTACCCTACCTGCTGACTTCCTGGATTATCACGAGCTGAGACTGAATGTTCTGGGTTATCTCCTCTAATACATATATGACAAAGGAGACTTGACTTACTTATCACGGTATCCCCTTCCTTATCATCTAGAAGAGCCTGGTACAAGCTAAACATGGCAGCTCATCCCTCTAATCCCAACACATGGGAGGTAGATATAGAAGGTAATCACCAAAAGGTTGGGGCCAGTCTAGACTACAGAGACCCTATCTCAAGAAAGCAAAAATAAATAATTACAGAGTGTGGTAGAACATAGGTGCTGGATAGACTTCTGCAAGCAATAGTCTAATTATAATCAAGTTTTAACTCAGTTATAATTAAGGACAGAAGGGGAACTGTGCTTACTCTTTTGAATCTTCAACAAAACATTTTTGTAGTGTTCCATCATTTCCCAGCCTGTCTGTAAAATGTTTCAATTCTTCAGAGAGAGAAGATGCTAGAGAAGATAAATTTATGTCATGAAATAGAAAGGCCACAAATGTTCACAACAAGCAGATGACAAAGATGTTAACGGGTTTCCTAGTCTAGGGTCCCCTACCCTCATTCACACAAAACAGCCAAGTAAGTATGCAAAGACTTTATTTTGGGGTTGGAAGTTTAGCTCCATGGCTGAGAACTTTCTTAGCAAGTTCAAGGCCTGGGTTTGGTACCCAGCACCAGGGGTGGTTATGATGAATTAGTTAGTAATGGCCCATGGACTCCTAGGTTTGAATACTTCATCCCAGCTGGTGGAACCTTTTTGGAAGGATTGGGGGGCTGTGGTCTTGTTGAAGGAGGTGTGTCTATAAGTGTGGGTTTTGAGCTTTCAAAAGACTTGTTCTATTACTCTCTGCCCCCTACTGCAGATCAAGATGTGCACGCTCAGCTATTTCTGCCACCATGCCTCTGCTCTGCCATTGTGCACTCTAGTTCCCTGACACTGTGAGCCCAAGTAAATACTTTCTTTTATAAGTTGCCGTAGTCATGATGTTTTATCAGAGTAATAGAAAAGTAACTGTATGTGTGTGTTGGGGAAGGGGGCAACAACAAAAATACAAAAGAAAACTATCCTTTTCTTTGGGTAGAGAGCTAAATGGGAGGCAACTTTATAAGTATTTCTATACTCATGAAAAAGCAGCTAAACATAGATAGCCATATAATTTCACTTTTCCCCAAAATCCCAATGCTATCACTGAAAGGACAGTGTCGCAGAAGCCAGGCTCTAACAGTGAGGAGGAGTGCCGTAATAGAGAGCAATTGCTAAGCAGGCAGGGGACCTGCTTTTAAAGAGGACACTGAAAACAGTGGCTGGCTCCAGGGAAGGAGGGAAGGCCAGAGGCCTGTCTGGCTGAGCAACTCACCTTTTGCTCTGAAATCTTCAAGGCTGAAGTCCTTAGTGCTCTTTAAGAAAGGTTCAAGTTTTTCAACAGAGAACTTTAAAAAAAAGGAAAAAAAAAAGCACTTTTAGTACAACCAAAGTTTCCCAAGTTAGCTGTTTGTGGCTTCATGTTACCATAAACTTTATAATAAAACTACAGAGCCTAACTTTTCCATCCAACACTTTTCATATAGATAAGTATATAAGGAAAAATTCTCTTGTTCACTCTATATTTAAGAAATATATTTATGCCGGGCGGTGGTGGCGCACGCCTTTAATCCCAGCACTTGGGAGGCAGAGGCAGGCGGATTTCTGAGTTCGAGGCCAGCCTGGTCTACCGAGTGAGTTCCAGGACAGCCAGGGCTACACAGAGAAACCCTGTCTCGAAAAAAACCCTATATGTATACACACACACACACACACACATATATATCAATGTATATACAAATGTGTATATATGTTATATATATATATATATATATATATATATATATATA